AAGACTGTGGGGCTTTCATGCATTGTTTGGTGCATGTTGTGTTAGTGTAACTGTCTGGATTCAAAGGCTAGACAAGTCAGTGCTGCGATTTCCATTTGATTAAGAGCATTTTTTCATCTGGTTTGGGGGTAACTAATGTTTAATTGTATTGAGAAGCAGACATTTCCAGTGCTCTGAATAGCATCATATCTTCCTCCCTAATATTTTTTCTGCTTTCATATCTTTCTCATTTCATATCTTTCTTCCAGGGCAGGGACTGTCTCATGTTTGTCTGTGTTTGTACAGGGTCCAGGAAACAATTAGGGTCTCTTTGGATTTCATTGTAACATAAATATTCATGGCTGATAATCATTAAAGTCAAATGGAGGCTGGGGTATAAGTTGCCTTCTTTTCAAACTTCACAGTCATAGGCTCTGGATGCAGGACATTTCTTCCAGTGTAATTTACACTGTTTTTGTACACCGTGGTAAAGTACACTGGAAGCCAGAGTGGAAGAAGGACCAGCTCTCCTAGGATAGCTTTGTGCTTAAAGCATTATCACAGTACGTTGCCACACAGGTAGATAATAGCCTACTTGCCTTGAGCAGGCATGTGCCAAGACAGAGTAAAAACTGAACTCTTACTGCAGTTTTTTATGGAGTCAAGGGAGTTGCACTGCAATGGGGCTGTATGTTGTATCTCCCCCTCCAGTTTTATACTGGTGCAACCATGTCATTTGTCCAGGACCTAGTCATGGTCTATGTGAGAGGGGAGGCAGGAGCCCCCCAATGTGGCCCAGACCCTTGGCCGATGCACCCTGGTACTTACCTTAGGAGCTGGGACGAGCGGCAGCAGGAAGGAAATGCCAATGCAGGCTCAATGTTTCCGCAGCTGCCTAAGTCTGTGTATCAGCAAACACCAGGGGCATGGCTCCCCAGAAGCATGGGCTGCTCAAAAGGCAGCTGGGGATCCAGCTGAACCAGCGCTGAGGAGCAAGGAGCAGAGCACCAGCTGGGAGACGCTGGCTGCAGAGCCAGTAGGCTCCAACTCCAGCCGCCACAAGAAGGAGCTGGGTGCCTGCCAGAGGACCCAGATGGGTGAGGCAGAGGGCAGCCTCGGGGGTCGACGGGGCCAAGGGAGCCCCACTGAGAGGCAGCAGCCTCAAGGGATGCCGCCAGGAAGCAGAGGGGCTCTGACCGGGAGCTCAGACGTCATGCCTGGGGACAGCTCCTCAAGCCCACAAACATCCCCAGCCAGCCCTGCAGCGGGCAGAGCACGGAGAATCACGAGTCCCCAGGAGGGGGAAGTAGACAACCCCGGCTGGAGGGACCAGGACAGCTGGACCACAGGTCAGCCGGGACCCAGGGAGGTGATGCCAGAAGAGCTGGCAGAGGCTGGACACAGGCCAGTTGCCTGTACCCATGTCTACTAAGATAAAAGGGACAGACAAGTCTTCCCCAAGGGACCGAGGGCCCAGAGATAGGGAATCTCAGGAGCCTGCTGGCAGAATCTGGTCATTTTCAGTTGAGTTTCTTCAGTTACAGTTTGGCTCTGGACAGGGCAGTTTTAGTTTCCCAAGAGAGGGGAAGCCAACCCAAAGACAAGGGATGGACCCTTGAAGATTGATGGCCAGGAAGACCTGACCCTTTCAAGGCAGGCAGTGTGGGAAGACCTGCGGGGAGCAGCATCTACCCAGACCAAGGATGTGGTAAGGGTGGGGTAAAGGAGAGGTTTGGAGCCCCATGAAGACAACCCAGGGACAAGACCCCTTCGGGTCATCTACAGGGAACTGCCTCCCTAACAACAACAAGGACATGGCAGGCGCGAAGGGGCAGTGCCTGAACCATCTAGGTGGCACCAAAACCAGATCTCACCCTGACGTCACCGGGGGGCAAGGCACCAACAAACAGGGGGCCAAAACCTTAACGCCTACCAGCAACAGTCTAAATACATTGTGTACATCCCCAAATCTTTGTGAAGACATTGTGGACTTTCTATTGAACTTGTAGAGAGTTCACTGCTATCAACAGGACTTTGTGCTTCAGTGTACCTGTAAACAGCCAATTGCAAGACTGGGTCTAAATTTGGAGACTTTTGGCTATATATATATTGGTATATAGTGTAAGGTGCATTTAATACTGAATCATACATGGTGATAATAAAATGTAAGAGTAGAAGAATATTAATGTCAATTAGATTGTAATTTTTTTCAAAGTAGGCAACAGAACTTATGGTTGTAGAGCAGGGCTCTAGTCCAGACTTGGAACTCTGGACATTATTGTAATATAGCTATTGGATCAAAGTGCTTCTGAACCACATGCACTCTACTAAGGTGGATAAAATAATGAAAGCGCTTTATTTTCCATCTTAAGAGCATGACTTAGAGTGTATAATCTAATTTCTGCTAAGAATTCAACACAGAAATCAGATGCCCAAGTATAGAAATCTGATGTATTTTGGGGAAAACCCTCTAATACTTTGTATTCTTTCCTAATACAAGTGTGGTGTTTTTCTGCTAGATACTGAATTACATCTACATAATATTTAATTAATAGATAGCTTGTATATTTGGGATACTTACAAGCCTGATTGCTGAGAAACTACAGCACTTCCTTCCTAACATTAAGCAGTCTTTTGGTCAGTGCCTGCTATATTCATATTTGCTAAAACCTATTTTTCAGAAAAAAAAATTCTACTGAAGCCATTTTGTGTGTGGAATTTATGCTACACTGCATGTTTAGTGTCAGCTCCTAGAGATCTAGGTGATCTAAGACTTCTATTTTTCGAATAAATAAGCAGAATATATTTACTGTACATTTGGTTGTCATTTCTAATCTTTTTGGAGTGTTACAGCTGTCTTCTGCCACGGATGACATATTCCCTCTTCTCCCAGTTCACTGTTAATGGGTGATTGCCTCTGCTCATATTCTATTTTTATTTGACCTGAAGCCAATTGCATATATCCCCTTAGACAAAAATGGACCTGGCACGACTTTTGTTCCTTTAAGCTGGCCTGCTGAAATGATTGATGTTTCCTAGTGACTGCCACACCAAAGATTAAGTCTTACCCTTTATGCTTGATTTACACCAGTTTCTTGGATTTAGCCTTGGATTGTAAACCACACAGATCCTCATAATTTAACAATGAAAGCAATGGAATGGCTAGAGGTATTTTTGCAGACTACAAGAAAATCCATTCTACTCTCTGAAGTCTGAGGTGTCATTACTAGTGAAAGGTCATTGTTTTCCTAAACGTGCCTGTTGTGTTGCCTCATTTTCACTTTTAAAATGAAAGAACAGGAGATGGGAAGCTATCAGAAAAAACAATGTAATCTCAACACTTACTTGGCCATCAATTAGAATCAGCGTTCTTAGTTGCCCAGCATGCTAAAAATGTCCACAGAGTTACACCCTTATGACTTAATGGAGATAGCACATTCTGTTGTTGTCTGTATTTCCATTTTCCCAGACAGAGACTAATGTTTTTGTTCACATAAAATAAATGAGTGCCAAAACTGCAGCTGACAGGATGTCGAGCACAATTTGTCCCTGTGTACATTGACTGTAAAGTTGTGGACCGCATTGTATTAGTTAACAATTAAGGTCACACTCTAACTTTGTGTACTTGTCTAGTGAAGACAGTCCTGAAGACAAAGGGCTCAAAAAGCATGGAAACACTGTTAGGGCAGGTATAAATATAAATGAGACTAATCAAAGAAAAATGTAGATTGAATACATGGAAAAATCTCCTAATGTGAGACCTATTATATGTAGAATAGGCTTCCAAAGGAAATGCCAGAGGAGCCAGTGTTTTGGTCAATTAAAATGTAACTGGAAAAAGCATTTGGGGATTTATTGTAGGAAACAGTTGTTTCTCACAATAATAGCACTGGCAGGGATATTTATAAGTTGCTTTGATCTCCAGTTCCAGTGAAATAGGCATAAAGGGATTCTGTGATAAGGATCAATTTTCCCAAAAATACTTACATGATGTGTTAGGTCCAAAAGATCAATGTCTCCAGATTCATCCACCTCTGAACTTCCCAGAACAAACTTGTGCACAAACCTCTACATGATCTGTGTCTTCGTTGATGATCCACTGACTTCTAAGCATTCTGGTATCAATTTCATAACAGGCACGGTCATGAGTTGTAACATGTTTTACCTGTAGCCCAGTGCCGTTCAAAAGGTCACAGAAATTAATTCAGACTGCACCATTCAGCAAGGTGCTAACTGACCAGTCTGAACAAGGGACAGACAACTTTAATAGTAAATGATTCTTCAAAGCAAGAACTGATATGCTGATCTGAATATACACTACAAAGATAAATGTATTAATGTAACTGTAAAGTGGTTGTCATTGAAAATAGGATGCAAATTTACTGAAAATGCTTTTAGATCACTGGTTGGTGCTAAAAATTAATTTTGGAATTCTTTACACAGCAACCAATAATAAAAGTGCCACATTTATTCCATAGTCTTATTTAGACATGTATTTGGCTGTTTGCATTCAGTACCCATCTACCTGCATTAGTTAGCCTTCCGACACATTTCAGTCTTCATAGCATACATACTGTCGTTCAAATGGTTTATGGACGCAAATATATTCTTTGATAAGGATCAAAAGAGTTGTGCACCTCTCATTGTTGTGGGAAATCTTTTTAGTGTTTGTAAATGACAATGACCAAATAAAGGCAGGTATTTAAAACATGAAGAGAATTCAAAACATTATAGCCCTTCATATACTTTTACATGATAGGGTTCAAAGGGAAGGAATATTTTTGCTTATAAACTGCATTTAATAATTTTTGTATCATGGTATCTAATTGTGCATATATACTACATCTAGTAGTATTTTAAAAGAGAATATTATTTTATTTGTACATGTTTTATTTTGAAATCTTAAGAAATTGTATCTACAGATCCTAAATGACTTTTCTCATGGTTGTTGGGTATATTATTAAAGAATAAGCTATTTTTAAAAGGTTGAATATTTCTTTTTTTTTTTTTTTTTCTTGTAGTCCTAGACCACCCATTCCTCTCTCTCTCCTGTTATCAGAAGAAGAAGCAAGCAAAATAATTCAGTCATTCTGGAGAGGTTATTGGGTAAGAGTCATCTATAATTATTTTGCTTGATGTTGAATCTCTGTGACTGTGCAGACCCCAGGGGAAACCCTTACATACATTTTAAGTCGAGGATACTATAAATAACTATGAAGACCCCCACGGTTCACTGGCATTGATTGTACATCTGTGTAAGATGTCTAATGACTCAGATCTTTTCACAGGAGCATCAGTAATAGATGCTTACTGTTTCCCCACCCAAAAAAGTCTACGTGATATATAATTACAGAAATGTACTGTAGTTCCTGTTTTGAGAATCTCTATTTTAGCATCAGGAAAAGGTTTCCATGTCAGATGTATGGATAGCTGAGAAAAAGTGATGGGGAAAACTAGGAAAAAGCAATACAGAATGGAGAGAGGGAGAGAAAAGTGGCACAAAATAAAACCAGAAATTATAGAAAAAATAGAAAACAGTGCAGGGAAAAGGAGCAAGAGAGTGTAAGAGCAGGGGAGCTCAGGACAAATGCAAACATGTTGAAGACAACTTTGGTAAAGATATATTGTGATTTAGTAAAGGAAACAAATTGTGGAGTGAATCTAGGGAGAGCAGCCACTGAACATGGCTTGACATTTTTCATCCCAGTGAAGGGAGCTAGTGTGTGTTGCAGGGACATGCGGGGAGTGGATCGTGGCTCTGCCCTGGGCCCTGGATCTGTTCTGTCACCACCCTGTGATCCCGGCCCCAGCCCCACACACTGGTCCCACTCCCAGACACTGCTTCCCACCTTCCTGTGGTCACATCCCATCTGCCCAGCCAAGTGTGCCCTGCCCACGGAGGTCCTGGGCTGCTATCAGTTGAAATCCCATTCACCATCTCCTTCTGGTGCCCTCAGCAGTAGGTGCAGGGCAGATGGGGCTGGACAGGATCAACTGGTATCTCCCCACCCTTTCCCCCAGCACCAGGCGATGTAAACAGTTGTGATGGTTGTGGGGAGGGGGGTTGATACCAGGTCAGCAGCCCCCTGCTCCCCTCCCCCCCGGCCCTCAACAGCTCACCAGAACTCCTTAACTAACTCTCCAGCCCAAATAATTGCCCACCCTGTGTTACGTGATGTGTATCTTTATTGCTCCACTCTGGGTTTAGCCTCTTTCATTGGAAAAAAAAAAAAATGTAGTATTTTCAATTGCTTTGAAGAGAGCACTTCATAGGTTATTCCAGTTTCTGTCCAGTATTATTCCTAATAGCTGCTCCATGTTATGATGTACTTTATGGGCGTGATACGGAAGTTACTTTCTTTAAAACTAACTGTAAAATAAGGCACTAAGAAGTAGTATAATTGTGATATAACACATTATTTTATTTATCTCCAGTGAGGCTCCTTTTTGGAGGTTGTGAATAATTCCTAGACTTATCACTTGTTTACCTTTACTGCATAATGGAGTCTGACTTCATTATCTATGTGTACATGGTATTTTCTAAATAAGTATCATTGTCAAAACATACCCTGCTCAGTTCATCTGCATTGTTTGTGACAAAAATGAGTGTATATGTGTGGATGTAAGAATTTGCCAAGGAAAAAAGGACGATGAAGTCTTCTGAGTATTTATTTTTGATTGATAGATTCTTATAACATTTTATGCTTTGTGTTTATTCATTTTCCCAGTTTTTCTGGGTTTTTTTTAACCTAGCTGACACTGATTCCCACAGTAACATTAATTAGCATTGACAATACCACTGCAGGCACCCTCACAATAAAGTATAGCAAAACTAGTCATTATCCAGTAACTTGTATGTTAGCTCAACACCACAAAGTTTCTTAGATACCTTGTGCCTGGGGCAGGTTTGAAGGGCAGTGTCTTATTTAACATTTAATTTATAACAGCATTGTTTGTAATTCTAGACCAGTGTTTCTCAACCTTTTTAGACTTGAGACATGCCTCAATAGACTTGAGGTACCCCTTCATAAATGCAAATCACCCCTTGGAGAATACCAGCTCCTCGTTGTCACTTGTTTTGTGATGACTGTAACAGGCTGGCCTTTTAGGGCCGGTCTCAGTGCTGACCGCCTGCCTGTTCAGGGCTAAACCTTTACCACACTTGATGAAAAATAATATGATTGCTGTTCCTAAGGCAGGAGGCTGCCTATTGCTCACCCCAGATGCCAAAGGCCTTGATACACGACCTCTCCTTACACGTGTCCCATGCCTCACTGATGTTCATTCTCACATCCGGTATTTCCATATTGTCACATCCTGTCTTTCCATATTCCCAATTCAGTCATTCTGCCCCTCACTAGGGCCACTCATCTTTACAACCCCCACTCTGGGCTGTTTCACTGTCACTTGGCCCCCACTGGGGCCTTTTGGGGTCTTGCATCCTGTGGGGCTCAGGTGACTTGCACCATGCCTGGCCCCTAACACTAGGGTCTTCCATCCTGTGGGCTCAGGTGGCTGACGCCGTGCCTGGCCCCATTGCACTGGGCTCAGGTGTTCCCCTCTGGGTTTGCCTGGCCCAGGTCTCTTCCCTTGTTGGTAACCCACCTGTAGGCAGGGGCTGGGGTTTTCAGGCACCCCTCCTCGCCTTTCACCAGGGAGGTAACTGGCCTGGCATTTCCTGGGGACTCCCCTGCCATAGGGAATCCCATCAGGCCACCCTTCTCTGGCAGGATGCAGTTTTAGGTCATACTCAGGACCAGGAGCCTCCAAACCATCCCCATAGCTCCTGCCCTTACCTCCAAGATGTTCCAGAAACAGCTCAGCCTGATGTTTCTTCCTTGCCTGCCCAGCTCAAACTGCTGCTTCTCTCTCTGAGGCCCTGGGTTAAAATGGAGGCTGCTCCACCCACTCAGCTAATCCCAGGGTCCTCCTAGGGTCATGTGCTAGCCTTGCTGAGGATAGCACCCACCTGCCAGCTGCTCCACTGCCAACTAGAAACCTTAAGGTGGCAAGCACTGCAGGTGCCCAGCCACAATGACAGAAAAATAATAGAGCAATTCTTCTGTTGCAGAGAACTCAGAAAGACCACAACAGGTCAGAATGATTTTGACCCTATGGATTCCTGTTTGAAATCTCTGTGTTTATCTTGTGAAGCATGTTTGCACACCAAACACTTTTAACATTGTGTGGCATCCCAGGGCATCCTGGATGGATCTAAAGGCATCCCACTGTTCTAGCCCAATTGTTAAAAATGGGAAGGGAACCATAGCAGTGAAGAGAAGGAGAAGTCAAGATTAACTCAGACCATGAAACTGGCTGAAATATTTCTGGGCAGAAGCAAGTAGTGTTTTTTAAGAGACATACCAGGGCGCCCCTCGGGGTTACTAGAAACAATGTTCATAAACTGAAGGAGAGCAGATTTAGATTGGACATCAGGAAAAAATTCTTTATGGTGAGGGTTGCCAAAATATGGAATGGGCTTCCAACAGAGGTGGTGCTTTTCTCTACCTTGAAATCTTTTAAAAGGAGATTAGTCAAGCACCTGGCTGGGGTTACTTGACGCTAGCGCTCTTTCCTGCCCAGAGCAGGGGGTCGGACTCGATGATCTAATAGGTCCCTTCTAACCCTATAAATCTATGAAATCTATAAGTTGACATCAGAATTATTAATAAAAAGCTATAACAGAAAAGATAGGGTGATCTCTTATCTAGATTCACCTTTAAAAAAAAAAAAAAAAAGAGACTATTAAGCTTGATGGAGCATGAGCAGTTCTCAAATCTTTTTAAGGTAAACGGATTAAAATATCAGGGGAAATTTCCAAACAATTTCAGAAGACAGAGTAATTTAAAACAAGTTAATCTAAAAGTTAGCAGTGATTTGCTCTGATCATAGCTATATCATTATTGTCTCGGACGGCCAGAGCCGACTCGAACGAGCAATTTCTAAATCACCTCGTCAGGGCAGGCTGGTGAATGGAGAGGCAGACAAGGTTTAATGGTTGCAAAAACGTTTACTTGCGCTGCGTGGAGTTGCGACGCAGCTGGTCCGGTCGTCTGAACAACCACGTGAGTTGTTTCAGCTGGCGGGGCCCAAGCCAGTGAATCTGTCCGTAAATCAAGCCGGTGGGAAAAGGGTATGTCTGGGATTGTGCTCGGCGACGGGAAGAAGGATCGATAGGTGATCAGTCTATCGATCAGCTAGCCGCAAGTCAGATCTCTTTAGAGGCACTCTGCAGCGTGCTCAAAGTTCTTCGACTTGGGCGGAAGTCGCACGAAATTTTAAACGGCTAGCCAGCCAATTACTAGCCGCTACGTGTGAATAATTTAGAACTGGCCAATAGCGGGGCACAAATTTGTATTCGAATAGCGGGAACTCTTTGCACCATGCATTTCTGTGCTGCAAGGAAGAAATGCATCCTGCAAATTGGCGGGAAGTCTCTTGCACCGAGGCTCTTCTGTGTAGCAAAAACCTTCGCTGTGCAAGAGGCTCTCATGTGGCAAGAAAATTCCATCGTGCCGAGGCACCAAAATCACTGGGTTGTGACAATTATAACCACCCCCCGCCCCTGAATATTTTAGATACATGCTTAGGAGCTCAGTTTAATTTTAGCCCGGTATAGTAAGTTTTCATAAATTAATGTTTTTAAATGTTTTAATCAGACATTTTTCACTTATCACATGTGTTTAATTCACACAATTTGAAATTCTTAAATATCCTGTCATTACAATTCACACCTAGTTATATTAATTATAAATACAAAATCATATCATCCCACACGTGTGCATACACACATACACAAAATACCAGATTGTACACTGATCTGTGATTAAAGGAAGATCATTGTTCCTACCATACCACTCAAGTTACATTTTCTATGACATGAAATCATATACCACAAGCTTTTGTTTAAAGGATGGAGTGGGAAATCTAGACCTAAAATTTGGACAAGGGAGAAGAGATTGACATCATATATCTGGACTTTAAAAAAATCTTTGATCTGGTGTTCCATGATCTTCTCTTGGAAAAATTGGCCAACTGTGGCCTCGGCTACACCACAGTCCGATGGCTGGGGAATTGGCTCCAAAGCCAGACCCAGAGAGTGGTGG